TTAATCTATGGACAGCTCATTGGCGCACAGCCTCTAGCCTCGTCTGTCAATATACATTTACTATAATCTATGGACAACTCACTGGAACACCGCCGCTAGCCTCGTCTGTCAATATACCTATTCTATACTCCATGGACAGCTATTTGGAGCACAGCTGCTAGCCTCGTCTGTCAATATACCTATACTATAATCTATGGACAGCTCACTGAAGCCAAGCCGCTAGCGTCGTCTGTCAATATACCTATACTATACTTTATGGACAGCACACTGGAGCACAGCCGCTAGCCTCGTCTGTCAATTTACCTATACTATAATCTATTGACAGTTCACTGGAGCACAGCCGCTAGCCTCGTCTGTCAATATACATATACTGTAATCTATGGACATCTAACTGAAGCACAGCCACTAGCCTCGTCTGTCAATATACCTACATTTGTATACTATAATCTATTGACAACTCACTAGAGCACAACCGCTAGCTTCGTCTGTCAATATACCTATACTATAATATATGGACAGCTCATTTGAGCACAGCCGCTAGCCTCGTCTGTCAATATACCTATACTATAATCTATGGACAGCTCACTGGAGCAAAACCGCTAGCCTCGTCTGTTAATATACCTATACTATAAGCTATGGACAGCTCACTGGAGTACAGCCGCTAGCCTCGTCTGCCAATATATATCTATACTATAATATATGGACAGCTCACTGGAGCACAGCCTCTAGCCTCGTCTGTCAATATACATATAATATATAATCTATGGACAGCTCATTGGAGCACAGCCGCTAGCCTCTTCTGTCAATATACCTATACTATAATCTATGGACAGCTCATTGGAGCACAGCCGCTAGACTCTTCTGTCAATATACCTATACTATAATCTATGGACAGCTCACTGGAGCAAAACCGCTAGCCTCGTCTGTTAATATACCTATACTATAAGCTATGGACAGCTCACTGGAGCACAGCCGCTAGCTTCGTCTGTCAATATACCTATACTATAATATATGAAAAGCTAATTGGAGCACAGCCTCTAGCCTCGTCTGTCAATATACCTATACTATAATCTATGGACAGCTCACTGGCGCATAGCCGCTAGCCTCGTCTGTCAATATACCTATACTATAATCTATTGTTTCGTATTGTTTTGTATTGTTTATCAACTTGAAGCCTTATGGCTCATAAGCATACATAGCAACGTATAATTGATACATCAGTGATATGAAATACCAATTAATTATAACATTATGAATGAAGCATAATCTTGTACATCGCATGTATAAATGGACGGTATAATTCTTTAAATTATTTTGAAATACAAGATAAATAAATTATCGGAAGATGGACAGCTCTTATAAAATAACCTCATCAAAATGTCATGTGTTTAATGTCATAACGATATTATTTTCTTCTTTGCATAAATTATGTTTTTAAACATTTGTAGAAACAGTAATTCTGATTATATTTTAATTGATGCATGGATTTTAGCTTCGATACCCCAAATTTAATAGCGCCAGGGCACATTTCTAAAATAAACACGTATAACTGTTCGCTCCAATCACAAGCACTAGTAGCATGACCCAGTTCCAGAAAACATGTGATTTTGTCATAACCGTTCATAGAATGACGCCGGGAGCAGGCTAGATCAATAGGAAACTATTTTATTTTAATTTGATGTATGATTTGCCATACATCATGCAGTATAATTTTCGGTAGACTTAATGAAATATCGAAAAATGGTCGAATTTCAGTTGGTCAGCTGTCCACGGGATGACACGCTAAATCCCTAGTGGGTAGCGCAAAACACAATGTCGGTACAGTGTTTCTACGATAGGAAAAAAACAACTTATTTGTATGATAGTTCATGACTTACATTATCATGTTGGACACCCGAGTCCAGTTTTCAAGCTGGTCAGGCTGACGTTTGGAAATCTGAACACAGCCTGCCTAACTTTTGTGACCTCAACGCTTATTGGCTTCTAAATTTAACGGACCAATCATTGCCGAGGTCACGATCATACAATTTGAACAATAACCAACTCGAGTTAGGTATACACGATAACTAAGCATTACGTGTGTGTAACCTCCCTTAGGACTCACACAACTAAATCATTTACTATATGTTATTACCAAACATTTTAGCTAATAACTTTAATATTTGAAGTTCAAAACTAGTGACAACTGTCTAGATTCATAAATACATACCTTGCAAATGCTACAAATTGATTTTGTTGGTAGGTTTAGTGGCATATTGGAGTGTCACAGCGCCAAGAAGTTGACCGGAAGTTTACAAGCAAAACCAGTGACCCAAAACAGAAACGCTCCCAGACAATTTGCCCCTGTGGAAATCCGCACACAGACATGGAAGATTATCAAAAGTATTAATAAAAAATTAAATACCTGAACATTTCATTTATCTAAAAATCTGTCATCAGTTCCTTATCAAACTCCTTCAGCGGCCCAGTAATCAGCCGGAACTTATTTCAGATAGGAACTACAAACGTAGTAAAACTATATGCAATTAGGTTAAACAATAGCCTCTTTTTGGAAGGTTTTGACTCGGTTGTCCCAGCAGAGAGTTTCTCGCTAGTCCCCAATCTCATTATTGGTAGTCGTGCACATTTTCATGTAAGCACAGACAGTAAAGCATAAATTATTACTATTATTATAATTATACGACAACGACATTTAGAATAGCGCCATGTCTAGCAACAACACTCAAGCCTTTGTTATGTGAAAATTACTCGATGATCATGTGACGTCGAGTCTTTGTGCATATGACACAGAGCAGAAGACAGGCATTGAAAAAAATATCACACCATATCCATTAGGTGAGTGGGCAAGATCTGCATACTTTAGTCGCCATCAATGCCATAAAGACATACAAAGAACTTGTTGAGCTTGCTGAAGCGTTTGCTCCCACACAAAGGTACCCTTGAATACATTACCCAATACTTTATGTTTATATCATAACAAGTATTTTGATGAGAGTATGGGTTTTGTTATACTGCAAACGTAGAGATGTCTGCTTTAATTGTTTAATAACTCAGTTGAGATTTTCTTAATTGTAAGCTTCAGTTCAGTAATATAAAAGCGCGTGTGAGAGGTTTTAGTTTGATAGTTGATAATATGCATGTAACATTGAGCAAAACTCTTTATATGCAATATTTCCATCTATTATAATAGATCCGTATACTACTCTGTAAAACCTTTACAGTTTCATCGATATTTAACTTGGTGACCTTAACAATGCTATATGTGTATATGTATGTGTATACACATCAGTACATAAGTGAAACATATGCATTGTTAATAGAGGCATTCACATATAAAATACGGGGTACATATGTAGATGGAATCAACAACTTTAATGTGTGAGGTTTTGTTCGCTAGATTCATAATTAACAGATCCGGAGATGGCCTAAAGAAAATACATTTAAACCCCTGTCTGCTTGTATTTTTGGTATAATTGATCTTGCCGGTAAAAATGCTGAACAAGGCATTGCACGATTATCCATAGCCTACTAAAGTTGAACCCGTTCCTTCAATACGTGTCAGACGACTGGTTTATTTATAACTCATTACAATTACTTCGGTCTGCCGACGGGTAGTCAACCTTGACTTTATATATTTTGTACTACAATGTAGTATAGTCAGTTTGACTTACGTGTGTAATATTTGCATACTTCTGAAGCCATTTTTGTCATTAGGTGTGTCAGTAATCAATGTTACTGAGCAGGTTTCGAGCGATACACAAAAAGCTTTTTTATCAATTATGAACTCTCTAGAATTTTTTTGTTGAGTTATATATATTGGTTGAATGATAGGTACACACACATCAGCAACAGAAAGTATTTAATGATATCTCTCAAAGAATAAGGCACAAATGAATTTAAGGTACGTTGCACTTATCACTGAGTTAAGAAGCTTATGCTATATATTGATAATGACAGATTATAAATATAATACGTTTTAATTGGTAATGTTTTTGTAACTAGTCATTTATAAATACACGTACATCACTTCCGAATATCGTTAGAATAGTGTATGGTTTATTTATAGGCTATATGTTCAGGTCTGCAATCTAACAAAGCACGATGGTAATGACCTAATTCATTGTTCATTGTATGTCAAGTTAGCTATATAGCAGTACCTGATGGTATCTTAAACGCATGAAATGAACATGTTCAAGGACGAAACAGCTGTATGATGTAGTGTAAATCATGTTTAGCATACGGTATCTATTACCAGACTTTAACGGTTCAATCGTTTGTGACTGTGTTAAGTTCACACACTGTATTAACCCCACACCTACAATGTACGACTTCGTATGTAGATATTATATTAATTTAAAACTAAAAAAAATCGTATGTAAGATTCTGTAGATCACATAACCAATATTTTTTGGTACATTTTCTTAAAAAATCATATTTTTCCGGTCTTGAATTAAAAATCATAAATACCTGCGACATGTTAGCTCCATGTGTTTCTCTTTTGTGACGTCACATTGTTATTGCATAGTAAGCCATGTAGTTGCGTTGAACTTTTTGGATAATCCAAATTCAGGAATTCTCTATAACCTACTAAATTTTGTGACTAATACAACGGTGAACGAAATGTAGCAAGGTATATGTTCTGGTTGAAAATGAGATTAAAACTTTTGGAACAGCTTACCTTTATATTGAAGTCACTAAGAAATAGGATTTTCTTTTTTAAATAATGAAATGGAACACCAACGAGTTAGATATTTTTCACATCTGTAATCTATGATATATCACGTTAAAATAAAGAATCAGTGGGTCATTTATATACATGTCGTTAATAGTGCTATGTCTATACGCAAACCACCGTATCAGTACATATAACATAAGCTGAGATATTTATGTCATGAGAAATGTCGAATGACGAATTTAAACCCCCATATTTAACTAGTCATGGTGAAGGACACCAGGTATGAAGTCTAAATTTAAACCTCTTCATGATTACACCCGTCTGGTGACATTGACAGTAAAATAAAACTGCATAAGTTCAACTAAGGTGACCGATGTTGCTAAGCTGTTTTGGTAAACAGTGAAACACGAGGCAGACGGCTTCTCTGTGGTTAGCTCTTGACTAAGAGCAGACGACGGGTATCGAAAAGGTTCAGCCAATCATCAGCAGTACTAGTGTCAGTACGTTCAACGGGCTACATATATTTGATGAAAATATCTTTCCCCTGCAGAAAGGTAAGCTCATATGAATTCCTCGATATCTTGATATTTATGTTTCAACTTACATTGAACGATTATGTACATTTTTTACCTCTGCAATCGAGAATATCATCATAGTTCAGGATATACCACGACGGATGTCAGCACAAACACTAAGGGTTGTCATGGCAGCAACTGGGTATACGACAGTAGTTATATCAAGGGCTAAAATACTCATAATTTACTCTACTAGCGGCTGTGTGTTTTAAAGATTTTTATAACCCAAGTTAATCTGTCGCCTTATAAGCCTTAAAATGACCAAGATATATGTGTCCATACACGCGCTTACTACTGTATTTTTAAAAACCAGTCATGCAAATCAAACACAGTCCTGTTTTGTGCTATAGATTCACATTGCCAGTAGTGTTGTTAAGATCAATATTTACTTATATATGTTGACAATAAATACTGCATAGCATTGCTAGCAACGGTGAACATTTGCATATACCTGTCTAGCTATACATAGCTCTGAATAGATATAATTTTAACATGAAGCATCTTGACATAAAAATATACGGTAACGCAAGGATCTGGCCGGAGTACCAACTACAATGAACAAGTCGTGCAAAGCCTAGTTAGCTTACCGAATGGTTAACGCGCATTATCAAAATGTACAACGTTTGGGGATGTTTCTTGTCTTCAGATAATCAATTTAGAAACTATGACATCTAAAGTATTTTTTAAATTTCATTATTAAAAAAAAAAACATTTTAGTTTTATTTAATATTATTTAATATACAAAAAGTGCTTGCGTTTTTTTAACGTTAAGCTGATCAAGCTTTTATCGACAGAGCTCTGACCTGTTAACATTTATAGCACTGGGTATATAGCCATTAACCGATACATAGTATTATGACACGAAAACATGTATATAAAGCTACATAATAATAAGGGTTTTAAACCGGAAGAAGTTTAGTAACCGGTTACCCGAAACCAATTCCACAATAAGCAACAATTAATGAACTATATGAATAACACTTGATATTGATTATATCTCACGACAGTTTACTCACGTTTTGCAAGTCTTCAACTTAAAATCGAGTTTTCCCCTCGAAAAGTTGGCATTACACAGCTTTGCATCCTGGCTCCCTTTTAAAATCTGTTCAGGCTTGTTATGGTGTTGTCGACATCTCTTTGTCAATCCTTTCTATCAAATACAAAATAATACCGAACATAGTGTCGTTTTTATTGACCAAAAAATCCGATTTCGGTCTTATGACCGAGTATTCGGTAAACCGTTGACAACCTTAAACTATATAGCAAGTAAGAGCACGTATTATACATTTACCAGTGAGTGAATGATTTATTGTGCTTCTCTTCAGTTATTCTATGTGTACGTTTATTCTTCTGCTGCTTAGGTGATATTTGATTGTTTAAATCTGACAACTATAATAAATAATAAATACAACATAATCGGACATTACTGCAGAAAAAATATTTCAAATACCTTGTTTGAATTCTGACCAAAAGATCACTTACTGCTAGTTGTAATGCGAGGGGCACGCGAATTCTGACCAAAAGATCATTTTATACTAGATATAAGGCGAGGGGCACGCGAATTCTGACCAAATGATCATTTAATACTAGATGCATTTCCCCCTTCACTTTCCTCATACATATGATTAGATTTACGATAATCAATACCTGTTTGAAAGTTACATGTAGTCATATCTAATATATTTAAGTACATTTAAAATTGGAATTCTATGGCAAACAAAACTGGAAAACTTAGTAATGATCATAGTAAATTGACACTTAAACATAATATTCATATCTTATTCATATTTTACATGAAAATCATTCTCTTTTTCGATAAATTCAGATATCTCAGAAAGTCGTTTTAGATGAACGCAACAAACACACAGGCGATTGTACTATGATATATGGTAATAGATACAGTGTGTCAAAATGAATTACGTTGTACCATACAGCTGTTTGGTCCTTTAGGACTCATCGGTAATGCTAGGAGCCCAAAAGCATGAAATCCAAAGGGGTCTTAACTACTGTTGAAATAGAAGGGGAAGTGCGTAAAATTCCCTTGATTTATGAATTTCCTAATTTACTGGATTACTGGTAATCATGAATTCAAATTTTAAGTAAAGAGTGATTATAATGAACCGTTTCACTACTCAAAATAGGTCATTGAGGCCAACAATGGTACGTAAAACCTAGGGGACTAAAACTTCCACCAGCAAAGTCTGAGTGGTTATGTGATAACAAATGAGCGGTTTTATTTTACTCTCGCAGTTATTGTATAACGAGCGTCATTTATTTAGCCACCACTAATCTGCTTTTTGACTTTTCAGCTTGTGTTTTAGGGAACATATTAGCAATTTTTAATGAATTATCATTATATTATTATAGTGTTTCGGTTGTTTCATTATCAGACCACGTTGGCTTGGAATAAAAGTGATTCTCTACTGCACTTGACAGATTTGACCTCTGTAGATTGCATTAATCAGTGTTTCATAGCAATATCCAATAGTTAGCGATGTATTGGTAGTGACTGTCATGGAGTGAGTTTCGATGCGGTGTCTGTTTTTCATGAGTAAGATCGTAGTCCGCGGTGATAAATTATTTATGCACAATTATTAATAAGATCAAATGTTATTTAGGTTAGCTCCATGGACAAAATAAGCTTGATAACATTTAATATAACTATCTGTTTTATTTATAGTGAAAGAGTCATATATAGTCAATTATATATATAGTACGCATAAGAGGTGTCTTTTTATCAAAAAATCTTTTTGGTTATTTTGGAACAGACAGTCATACAAAGTCATTGTTTCAATAATAGGCTGGTTAATTTGTTCTGATTAATTTCCTGACGATTCGTGCTAGTGTGAACGTCCCTTGCGATATGATGCTCAGATCAATTAAGTCTTTTTAATATTTTAAAGTCATTTAAGAATTGTAGACTTCTAGCCTCAAAACGGCTGTCATAAATACATATATGTCTCTTTAGACCACTACACTGCCGTCACCAGACGCTGTCTGTTTATTTAAACCAATAGCAGCGTGAACTGAGTATCAAAACACTTTCGTACACATGTCAAGTTAAGAGATATCCGAAATATGTGTAACGATGCATAGAGTAGGAGGCAGACTGTGTACAAATTATTGCATGCATCCAAAGCCTGTATAAATTATCTTAAAGTTGTGCTCGCTTTAACACCGGTCTATAATGTTGACAGAGTCAATCTAATCCATGCTATAACATATGCTTAATATAGTGAAGAACTTTCTATAAATGCCATTATAAACTATGTATACAGTGGCAGTGTTAACATACAGTGTTGACATTAGTTGTCATAATAATGTAATAAAAGGTAAATGTAATATGTAAAATAATATATACTATGTATACATTAATAATTGTAATGGGTTACATAAAGAAACATATTTGGTCATAATAAAACAATATTTACACTATATAATAACTAATTATATATTTGGTTATATCTGCAAATGTAAAATACAACGATGACATGTCGTATTATAACATCATGCATTGTATAATGTATATAATACATATATATGTTGTATCATGATGCATTTCTTCACGCATGTAGACTCGATTTACTAGTCTTAACATCATTTAAGTCTGATTTATATGTTTTGGAGTCTTGTTAGCCAAATTTGTAAGCTCGACAGTCTTTTTAGTACGATTTAGAAGTTAAATAGACACGTATCCCCAATTTAGAAGTTTAAACGTCATGAATAAATGGATAACTAATGGACTTTAACAAGCCTCGACTGTAACACTTCACTGCGGTTACTGTGTGATACTACAAACAATCCTTGATGTTGTTATAGTCAGCTTAAACGACCCATTCGATCGGCACAAATATATATGTTATGTTTGTCACTGTGAATTTTCTATAGATGGTTTTACACATTCTGATTATAAATTCATTTTTAGCGAAGTTTAGACAGGTTGATTTTATCACCTGCTGTATCATTATTATAACTTTCGACGTCTGTCACAGCTCGGTAGTTACCCATTCATACATAGTTTACAAACTTCTAAATAGGGCTTTCATGACTTTGAAACTACTAAATCGGGCTTACATGACTTTGAAACTACTAATTCGGGCTTACATGACTTTGAAACTACTAATTCGGGCTTACATGAATTTGAAACTACTAAATCGGGCTTACATGAATGTGGAATTTCTAAATCGCGCCTACATGAATATTTAACTTCTAAGCCGGGCTAACATGACTTTCACACGTTTTGCAACGTGCTTAAGAATCATCGCTATGTTTATTTTGTCATTTGAGTAGTAGCAAGATTCATAATATGCACACTTTATAAATTCTTTAATTTGGAGTAAACCAGTCGGTATCGTAATTTTGAAATTCATAAATTAAAGGGGCTTATGAATCCCACCTTCCATTCCAACAGTATGTATTGCCAAATTTCGTTTCCATTTTGTTTTGTCCCTAGCATCACCGATGAGTCCTAGAAAGACGAAACAGCTGTATGATGCAGGGTAGTTCCTTTTTGGCATATTTTATCTATTACCAGATATTACATATAATGTACCATATTACCAAAACCTAACCCCTTTTGAAATAATTTCACCCGTCAACACCATTAAACATTCTGAGAACAGTACTAGTATACAGCAAATGTTTGATTAAGAAATAAGCAACGTAAGTGCGTGTGTTCTGGTGACCATTATAACAATAGTTTGTTTAGAAATAATGCATGCACGCTCATGGTCTATCGTCCAAAAAAGCATGGATTTTATACAATCAAAAGTGTCGTTACATTTCAAACGTGGCAGAATTACGTATACGATGCAGTGAGACAGGGAGCGGCAGTGTCACCATGTTTTGGTATCGACTTAAGCTTATTTGTTCTTTTGAATCAACAAGTCCCCTCGTTTGGAACAAGGAAAATACTGTGTTTACCAAAGCGTTTAACGATAATTCTACAAAGCTTATTCAAAAGGAAACATGAATTTATTTTTATGGGATTCCACTCCTAACAGATAGATCTTAAAAATCTTGTTGAATTTCCTGAAAGTAATTCGTATTTTGTGTGTTATCAATTCGAACAAAAAAGTAAACTTAAAGACCATTTGGTAATGTAAATAGAGAAAGGAACATTTAACTACAAGAGACAAAAAAATACTTTATACTTTCATCAGAAATGAGGACATATTATTTTGACACTTCATTTAAAATACAAGCAAAACCAAACCAGGATGCACGTTAGATTAAACATTTCCTGCACCCTTAGTGGCATGCGCCATGCTTTCCTGATAAATCCGCAGACGTGTTTATATCTATATAGTACAGTTATAATATAATATAGTTACTCTTTGTCAAAATCAGTTTATCTTGAGACATGGTTTTGTGACAAACAGGATCCTAGCTAAGCTCATTATTTAAATCCAAAACGCATCACTAAATTCAACAAAAAACTTTCTGTTTCCAAGATGAATTTTGTTAAGCCTAAACTTCCTAACTCAAAAGCAACCACTTCAAAACGACGTTTCAATAATCTCCTTAAATATACATTTTTAGTATAAATTGTTAGGTGTATTTTTTAAAATTGTTTATACGCGTGTTAATGTGCGAGTGGAAATCATTCAGGTTCTCTGTTTGCGAACGATAAGAAGGTGGATCTACGGTAAGCGACTAGGCGACTGGTGGAGATAACGATATTGGGCAATTTTGTGTGCACTGAAAAACAAGTATGCACAATTGAATCAATTTCAAATTTATTTCAGGAGATTCCGAAAAGATTATTTTGTTATGCTTCCAGCTCGTATTACAGACAAAACAATAATCTTGAAGAAACTCTTGACGAAGCTGAAATGGCATATCTCTTTATTATACATATGCACAATTGTGGCGATGTGACGTCGATGACTGCACACGTACTTTTGTAACATAATAATAACATAACTTAAGAAATAAAATAGACTGTCACATCGACAATCGATGCAGTAGGCTATCTCTCTCTCAAGTATCATGTTGTTAATGACACGGTGAAAGCGTTTGATATACCAGCGGTATGTGTCGAATCGTTCACAAAATGAAATGTTTAAACTAATGTATTGTACCCAAGCTAACCCAAGCGCTGTAGTCGGTGTTAAAATGTCAGACGTTAGGGAATACGCTGTAAGTTGTATCAAAGCCGGCGTAAGGATAGCGCCGTAGTTTGAGTCGAATAGCTAAACGGCATATGTTGAGTTGGCGTCAAAATGGCAGATGTGACGATATACACTGTAGTTTGCGTCAAAATTGCCGACCTTAGGTCATTAAATTCAACACTGTATTAAATAAGCCAGCGTTAGGGCATGAGCTGTAGTTTGTTTCAAAGTAGCTATAATATAATATAAATATTTATATGTAATTTGAGTCAAAATGGCCGATGTAAATACATACATGTACGTTGTAGTAGTTAGTACATACGCTGTTGTTTCAAAATGGATATATGTAGTAGTATTTGGAATAATAGCCGACCTAAGGATATATCATGCAATCTGCGTCAAAATGGTCAACGTTAAGACATACGCTTTAATTTACATCCAAATGTCTGACGTTAGGATAGCAAAATATATGAATACGCTGTAGTTTGCGACAAAACGGCTGAAGTAAGGACGCACGCTGTAGTTTCCGTCAAAATGCTTGACGCCACTCTGTACTCTGTGCAAACGTTATGCCAAACTATGTATCAACACAACATTAAATAGGGCTCAAAGTGTGCAAACACTTATCACTGATGTTTGTATATCGTTTTGATGTATACATTAATCATATATCATTCTTGCTTTTGCAGTGGTTTGATATCAGCGATGCATCGCAGAAGCGGACGGCGAGATGTGAGTCCAGTGCGAAATCGGGAATCCCGGCGCTACGGACCTCACAAGATTTCGTACAGAATATTAACGGAACTCAAATACTGGCGAAAGTATTACCTGTACAACGACCAATTTGATATCTGTGGTATGTCTGCAGTTTGGTATTCTTTTTGTGTAGGTATATGGGCTTATTATTGAAGGTGGTGAGATAAAGTCAGATGATGCTTTTGTGTTTCATGAGCAGGATCTATTGAAACAATATACATGCTATGTAGAAGTATTCATGAAATAACACTTCCTTGATATCGCATCTTATAAGATAAGTCCTTAAATGTATGGATTTTCTTTAGAATAACGTCGCTTTTTATAGGTTATACTCAGGCTGTTTCGCAATGAAATTACACCAATACATATATTTTCGTATATTGTTTTAGTGTGCACTATGTTTGTTTGTTTGTTTGTGGTTAAACGTCCTTGCAACAGCCAGGGTCATATGAGGACGGGTGCCTAGGGAGACAACAGCCAGGGTTATATGAGGTCGGGTGCCTAGGGAGGCAACAGCCAGGGTTATATGAGGTCAGGTGTCTAGGGAGGCAACATCCAGGTTCATATGAGGACGGGGTCCTAGGGAGACACCAGCCATGGTTATATGAAGACGAGGGCCTAGGGAGATTACAGCCAGTGTTATATGAAGCCGGGAGCCTAGCGAGACAACGGTCAGGGTTATATGAGGACGGGTTCCTAGGGAGACAACAGCCAGGGTTGTATGAGGGAGGGTGCCTAGGGAGACAACAGCCAGGTTCATATGAGGACGGGGTCCTAGGGAGACACCAGCCATGGTTATATGAAGACGAGTGCCTAGGGAGATTACAGCCAGTGTTATATGAAGACGGGAGCCTAGCGAGACAACAGTCAGGGTTATATGAGGACGGGTGCCTGGGAGACAACGGTCAGGATCATATGAGGACGGGTGCCTAGGGAGACAACAGCCAGGGTTATATGAGGACGGGTGCCTAGGGAGACAACAGCCAGGGTTTTATGAAGACGGGTGCCTAGCGAGACAACAGCCAGTGTTTTATGAGGACGGGTGCCTAGGGAGACAACAGCCAGGGTTATATGAAGACGGGTGCCTAGCAAGACAACAGCCAGTGTTATATGAGGACGGTTGCCAAGCGAGACACTGCGAAACCCAAGTGTTGCAATAATGGCAATATATCAACTTTGGCCTTTTTCGTGTCCCCTTCGCAGAAAAAACAATGGGATACAGCAGGTCTTTTCTTGATTTCTTTAATGTCCCCTAAATAGAAGACAATGACGAAATCAACCAGATTGTGCAGGAGTCCCCACATAAATCGCCTCTGACGATCAGTTCGATACAGTAGTCATTTTCTTTCCCCGAACTTGCACATTTATATATAAATAATGAAATTATTATATACGTGACAAAATAGTTTATGCATTGATATACAATTAAAGGGTTTCGATATATTCTTTTTTCAGATATACCTACATATAAACCGTACAAAAAGTTCCTGGACGATGAAAGCCTCTGGGGAGAAGTTAACACCGGTATGTAACAAGGCAATGCATTTCATAGTAATAGTGTGTAAAGAACAAGAAAGAGACAATAATGAGTGTTTTTAATTTAGGCAAATAATATCTCTGAAGCCACAGGTCATTTAGATCAGTTAATTTTGACATTAATATTTAATTCTTGATCTAGTTCTTTCGAATAAATATAAACACTACTATGGAAGTTAGATAAAACAAATCATGTAATTATAGTATGGGAAATCAATATAACGAATACAAATATTTACATATAGTAAAAATACATAAATAAATCAAGCATTATATTCATCGGTTATTTTGATGTCCATGATGGGGCATATACTTCAATCGATTCACTTGTAAACACTGCACTCCTGAACTGTGACTTAACCCAAAGTGTTTGGTGTTTCCCCACACTCGATATATTAAACATTGTAATCCTGTGTTCAATTGATTTCAGTGGTCAAAAACAATTTCTCTGAATTTTGGAGGGAAAAACCTATGTTAACCGGACCTGACCCTGAACTCTCAGGTGTCAACGCCTGTTTTCGGGAGTCAACAACAATATTCTCAAACGTCTATTGAAAACTCTGCTTACCACAAAATCATTTGCATAAATAAATGTTTCATTTTAGATGATGAGGACAATGCGGATGAGGAGGAGATCAAAAACGAGATTCATGTGACAGAGATCAATCTGAATATCGTCCAAAATGCCTCCAATCACCATACCAGTGACTACAAATGCCTTAAAGAGCGAACTGTTGATGGGAAGAAAGAGTATGCTACCCTAGTGGTCAGACGTGGACAGCTTTTCAGCATCGATATGACTTTTAATAGAGAGTACGATGCAAAGAAGCATGACCTCAAGCTGCAGTTTAAAAGCGGTAAAATATTTATGTAGTCCGTTTCGGTTATATCATTGCGTTTGTTTCTGTTATGTCAACTGAACTTCGTAGTTTTGATAAAATATTAAAACTGTATTTTAAACCAGAAAACATTTGATGTATAAAGCTATTGTGATGTAACAAGATATGCCAATTCTATGTTGATTTTGTAAAATGAAGTAGATAAAACTTAAATTCAACTAAATAACCTGTGTTTTTTTACATGTACAAGGGCTTGACCCGTCCCCGCTACGAGGTACGGAAATAACAATCATGGTGGACGAAAATTTGAACAAGTTCGATAACAGCGGTAAGTGGCAGGCCCGAGTGGCAAATAAGATGCCAAATACTAAACTGGAAATCGAGGTGTTGCCGCCTGTCAAGTGTGTGATAGGGGAATGGGACCTCCACGTCTACACCATATCTAAGGACAAGCGAGGGACGTCCAAACAACTTCACCGCAAACACGATGAGGACATCATCATCTTGTTCAACCCCTGGTGTAAAGGTAGCTAGCTAGCTCTTGTTGGTGTTTTAATGTGGGTTTTTTTCATGTCATTGTAATTGGTGTCGACAACAAGGCACGTTGCATTGAAAAAACGTTGTTGAATGTCGATCATTGGTATGCATGAAACACTTTTTGAATTTAAGAATTACCGTTCGGGCACATTGACATTAAGGTAGCAGTGTACACTAGCGTACGGTGCTCATGGGTAATAATTTTGTACAATGAAAAAAACATGTTATACTATATGTATCAAAATTAAAAAGAAATCAGCACTAAAAGTTGCATATACATGATGAAGTGGACTATGTGGGCTTCACATTTAAATAAAATATCGAATTTGGTTTGAGACTACAATTTTGGCCACTTGCAAATCTGTGTCTACACAACAACAGCTAGTTTTTTATGCAGTCTATTTTTGTACTCGGCATATGTGTAAATATTGTGAAAAATCCAGTTGAACGACCTATGCTAAAACGTGAGTATTTCTGTTACCGGGGAGGTGATATTCAATTTAAGACAGGTTTTATGAACAAAATTACTTGCGTGGTCAAAATTTGGGTTAAATATCATATTTTGTTTTGCATTTTTTGGCGTTTTTTGATGTGGTAACCATGGTGTTCACAAGTCCCAAATCTGGGGAAGTCACTTTTTGAAAAAGAAAATCGTTCTTCTAAAAAAATGTATTCAAAATGTAGTTTATAAATATATATATAAAGGAGGTGTGTTATGAAGGATTAATCCGTTATCCATGTTTATCTGGGACATGCCCTTTATTTTTAGGGTCAAGCCATTTCTACTGTACTCTGCTACCTAACAATATTGAATACCGTGCATAGTTTTTCGTTTATGCGACATTTGACATTTGTATTTATAACCTCACCTGGTTGGCAGTAATATATACGATCGTTGGCTAAGTAGTTGTCTAACCTCCTCCGGTGTTCTTGTAGACGCTAATACGACCAAGGCTCTGGAGCTAATGGGTATTAATCTATTTTATTGATATGGCCTATCATAACACAAGCAATATAAAGTCATTTTTAAAAGTAATATATAGGAGAGATCTTGGAAATATATTCGGCAAGTCATAATTGTACTTAATCAGGTTTATGAAAGTATAGGTAATGAAATAACAATATTCGAATGACAAATTATACACACAAAAAAACAGATGAAAAAGTCAAAATGCATAGAAACATTGTGAATTAAGTTATACAACTGAGCCAAATTATCGGGATTAAAAATAAATTTCCAATGGCATTGAACATCTTTTCGCCGTTTTCATTGTTACAATGGTAAATTTTACTTATTATAGAGGATGAAGTGTACTTCCCGGTTGACCCCGATTACGAGATAGATGTTGACCCCAGAGAGGAGTACGTGTTGAATCCCGTTGGTAGTGTATACAGAACAGGGCAGCGTGGCCTGGCCTGGAGATTCGGGCAGGTGAGTTGGAAACTTATTCAATAATTGAAATACATGTTCTGTTCATATAGGATTCAGTAGCGCATGATAGAAGATATCTTAGTAATAAATTGAACTTGGTATCACTTTTTAAAAACACGTTTTTTACGGACAACAAAAGCAACAACAGCCTGAGCCTTACTGACTGTTTCGAAATCACACAATATTCTCAAAAAAAACAATGTTTCAGATTACAAAATTCACTTTAAAAATTTGGATCGAAATCTGATTTTAACATTTCTTTAAATACAAACTTCCTAGCATATGAATATTTTGTTTTAGAAACAAATGAACAGAAAAACATTATCTAGCCAAGTCTGAGTCATTAATTACTGTTTCAGTTTGACGACGATATTGTGCAAATCTGCCTGATGTTGGTGAGGAGATATTTCCGTGGCATCGTCAACCAGAAGATGGGAGACGCTGGTCAGGTCGCCAGGGCCATATCCTCGATGGTAATGCCGTCCTATTTCACTGTAACATGCACCAAAATACAACTCTCAGTCTCAACTTTCATTCTTGCATGTCCTTTTATTTCTGTAAGTGGTTTAATTAAAGCCAACCTGCTTCAAGTGAACAACAAGATTGGCCCAAATTTAGTCATAAACACAGTAAAGGTGTGTTCAACGATCACAAGACGCTTAATCATCACGTGATTACGTCCCACAAACAAGTTTGGCGTCTTATTGATGATTTAAATGCCTTTTTACTACTATCTTTGTTCTTTAAAAGACGCTCAATCATGACATGATTTAGTCCAACAGACGAGTTTGGAGACTAATGGGTTTTCTGCGTTTCTCCTCCTCCTCCTTCTCCTCCACCTAACCGTTTCCCTTTTTCTTCTTCTTTTCTTCCGTCAAACTAAATGGCCGCCATAAACCTTATTTTAATTGTTCGCAATACTAAAGCAAAATTTAAACATAACTTAATCGTGAAGTCGTAATTCCATACGTAATGCTTTGGCTTACATACTCAATAAACCTGGGTACTTTACTAAGTTTGTCAGCAGTGGCAATGTATGGGAAAGGAACAAACTACCATTAACTAAGATGTATGAATAATACGAAACACTGTGAAGCCTTATGAATATAGTTTACGCTAGATTGCCGTTTTTGTTACACATACTATTTTAAACAATTTCTTAGTTGATAGAGTATCTACTGCAGAATCAAGCCTACTCTATATGCAACTGGACAGGCTGCGTTGGACTCGCAAGACATGAGGAAGACAATTGCACTTGGACTTAATTCTGCCTCATATTATATAAATGTTCTAAAAGGGAAACCGTGTTGTTTCTCCATCTGACTCGAGTTATTTAAAGGGCCGGTTTCCAAAACGGCCCCTTCTCTGATTCAAATTTCCTGTTGGTGGTGCATTGCCCATGCCGTTGTGGTCACAAATCTATAAAGTATAAAGATTTAGGTCACTTGGTTTGTTTTTTATGGCTCCTCAAAGTTGTACCTTTCAGAAGCTGTCTAAGTGTTGATAAAATGTGCATGTTATGTAAAATATTAATGAAAATCTAATCAAATGATGGTCACCGTAAAGAATACATTCATGGCATGATTGTGACAAAAAA